TCCGTTCCTTACCCCCTTTTTTTTACTTACTGCCCACGAACTTCCCCCACACTCACAACTGGTCTTCCTCACTCCTAAAAGGTTATTTTCCTTGCCCCAATACACGAAATCACGCCCCCATTTTCCACATTTAAAAATTTCCCTCAAAATACCCCTCCACTTCCAATACCCAAACTCCCATTTAATAACTCTCCCTCCTTTTTTAACTGACAAATCCATTTGTTCTCTAGGCTTCCTTAACTTTTAATCTCACTCCAAACTTTTTCTTTTTTTCAAAAAAATTTTGTTGTAACATCTCACCCACTCTCATTTGCTCTCTTTTTACATTGTTCACCACTCTTTTAAAACCCTCTCTTTTTTCTCCATAACTTTTTCCCTCCTTGCATCACTCTACTTTGTAAAAACTTCCATATGCTAACTTTTTCCCTTAATACTCTCTTTACATCATTTTCCCAAACCAATCGTTTCCCTCTTCCCTCCCCCACCACTTTCCTGAAACCCAAAAAATTTCTGCTAAACACTCTAAAAAACTACATTTTAAAACCCTACCCCTACCTCTTCGCCCCCCTTTGCCTATGCTTCCCTTACCCATCTATCCTCCAATGCGTTTAATCTTACCCTAACTCCCTCCTTTTTTTATTTTTATAACCTTCACCTCTCTCTTCCCTGAGCTTTATTCCCCTTTATCCCCATTACCTTTTACTCCTGTAGCTACAACTAAAAGTGTCTAAATTTTCTGGGCCCCTCTATAAACATGACACCCTGAAGTCTAAATCAACATTTTTTTACCAATACATAATCCAAAAACTACTGTCATTTGCCCTACTCATATCTTTATATTATTTTCCCTTTTTTTTTAAATATTTATTACCTATAACAAACCCCCTTTTTATACAAAGTTCATCAAGGGCTCCCATTATCATTTACCCTGGGACCCAAAATTACCTACCACACCCCCTCTAAAAGTTTCTCCTATTTAGCATTTAGGTCCCCTACCACAATTCTCTTCACTTGGTTCAAAGGTCCTATACATCACTTAACACCCCCAAAAACTCTCTCTGTCCTTACATTCCCCTCTTATACATTTATTAAACAAAAAAACCAACCCTCCAACACAATACCCCCCTCTTTTAACATTTTGTCATGATCCCGTCATTTTCCCGCTGCTTTACCCCTTTTTTTCTACGAAAGCCCACACAGCCCCCCACACCCACATCCGCTCTTTTTCACTCCTAAAAGATGTTATACCTCCTGACCAGGCAAAAAATACCGCCTCCCCTTTTCATCGACATTAAAAAATTCCTCAAAAAATCCTGCCATTTCCCAAAACCTCAAACCCCCAAACACCAAAATCCCCTACTCTATTTTTTTAAATGACAAATCCTTCGTTCCCTAGGCTTTCTTAACTTTTTTTCTCCAAAAATTTTCTTATTTTTTAGCAAAATTTCTTGACAGAGCCTCTCCTGCTCTTTCACCTGTTCTCCTTTTGCACCTCTCACCACTCTCTTCACCTTTCTTTCACTCTCCATATACTCTGTTTCTTCCTCACTGCTGCTTTGTAAAAACCTCTCATAAGCTACCTTTTTCTCTTTTATCACACCCTTTACTTCATTCCACCAATCGCTCCTCTTTCCTCCTGCACCCACCCTCCTATAACCACAAACTTCTGCCCCACATTCTAATAGTACTGTATTTTTAAATATTTCCCCCTCCCCCCCCCTACTCTTGCTGCATTAGCCCACCTTTCTGCCAATAGTTACTTATATCTCACCCTAACTTCCTCCTCCCTTAGTTTATACACTTTCACCTCTCTCTTATTTTTGGGTCCCATCTACCTCCTACTCTAACTGTACTACAACAAAATTAATGATTTGATATATCCTTTTGCCCCTCTATAAATACAGTGAACCCCTGCTTTACGTGAGCTCCCAATGCGACCAATTATGTAAGTGTATTTATGTAAGTGCGTTTGTACGTGTATGTTTGGGGGTCTGAAATGGACTAATCTAATTCACAATATTCCTTATTGGACCAAATTCGTTCAGTAATGGCACCTGAACATACTTCTGGAATGAAATAATATCGTAAGCTGGGGGTCCACTGTATGTGCATCCTGAAGCTTACCCATCAGCCTTTTATCCACCAATACATCATCTAAGAAACTACTTTCATTACTTGCTATGTCATCTCTTGTATATTTATTTATCCCTTTTCATAAAATATGTATTATTTGTTACCGAACCTCTTCCTACACATAGCTCAATTAAAGGCTCCCCATTTTCATTTACCCAGGCACCCTAAATTTACCTACTACTCCCTCCAAAACATTTTTACCCACTTTAGCACTGAGATCCCCAACCACAAGTACTCTCTCACTTAGTTTGAAACTCCCCATGCACTTACTCAACATTTCCCAAAATCTCTCTCTTTCCTCTGCACTTCTCTTCTCCAGGTGATAAACACTTACTATAAACCACTTTTGACATCCAACCCTTATTTTACACACCACAGTCCTTGCATTTACACATTTATATTCCCTCTTTTCCTGCCATAACTTACCCTGCCTCGGTGGGAGACGACCGACTTGTTGAAAAAAAAAAAAAAAACTTATCCTTTAACATTATTGCTACTCCTTCTTTAGCTCTAATCTATTTGAAACCCTTGAGGTAATCCCATTTATTTCTCCCCACTGAAAACTCTCCTACCCCCTTCAACTTTGTTTCACTTAAAGCCAGGACATCCAGCTTCTCATTCATAACATCCACAATCATCTCTTTCTTATCATTCGCACAACATCCACACACATTAAAACATCCCACTTTGACAGTTTTCTTCTTTTTCTTTTTAGTAAACTAGTATACAGAAAAGGGGTTACTAGCCCATTGTTCTCGGATTATAGTTGACTTTTACAACAGGCATGGCTTACGGAGGAAAGATTTTAATTCCACTTCCCCATGGATATGAAAGGAAAAGCAATGAGAACTAAGAATTTTTTTTTTTTAACAAACCGGCCGTATCCCACCAAACAGGTGGCCCAAAAAGAAAAACGAAAGTTTCTCTTTTTAAATTTAATAATTTATACAAGAGAAGGGGTTACTAGCCCCTTGCCCCCAGCATTTTAGTCGCCTCTTACAACACGCATGGCTTATGGAGGAAGAATTCTGTTCACTTCCCCATCTCCATGGGGAAGTGGAAGAACCAGAAAGATAATAGCAGAAAACTCAGAGGATGTGTATATATAATGCTTGTACATGTATGTGTAGTGTGACCTAAGTGTAAGTAGAAGTAGCAAGACGTACCGAAATCTTGCATGTTTATAAGACAGAAAAATAACACCAGCAATCCTACCATTATGTAAAACAAATACAGGCTTCCTTTTTACACTCACTTGGTAGGACAGTAATATCTCCCCGAATGGTTGCTGTCTTCTTTCTTTCAACACACTGGCCATATCCCACCAAGTGGGGTGGCCCAAAAGGAAAATGAAAGTTTCTCTTTTACATTTAGTAATATATGCAGGAGAAGAGGTTACTAGCCCCTTGCTCCTGGCATTTTAGTCGCCTCTTACAACACGCATGGCTTACGAGGAAGAATTCTGTTCCACTTCCCCATGGAGAATGGTTACTGTCTACAGGAATTAATTAAGGGATGTCAGTAGCGTGCTAAAAATATCTAGCCTAGACAGGACATGCAGCAATTCAGATTCAGAAGGATATGGGAAAGCACTGGTTTGGTAATAGAGTTGTGGATGAGTGGAACAAACTCCCGAGTACTGTCATAGAAGCTAAGACATGTATTTTTAAAATAGGTTAGATAAATACATGAGTGGTTGTGGGTGGGTGTGAGTTTGAACCTGACTAGCTTGTGCTAGTAGGTCAGTTGCCATGCTTCTTCCTTAGTGAATGTGACCTGACCTGACTACCTTAAGGCTTTGGCTTAAGCCAGTGAGTGAATTGGACCTGTCTCACATGGGCCAGTAGGCCTGCTGCAGTGTTTCCTTCTTTCTTATGTTCTATGTTTGATTTCACTTGTTCATTTAACTATTTGTGTACACTTGTATCGCTGGTGCAACGATAAGTTGACCTCAAGGCTTCAACTTTAAGCACAATTTTCAACTACTTTTTTTGTAGTTTATTGGGTTCAAGATCTAAATTAAGTTAAATGCAAACGTGAACAGAAACAGAATAAAATGAAGAAATACAATGAGTAACTGGAACTAATGAAGAAAACAGTCAAATATGCTAACTCAATCTGTTCTGGTGCTATGAGGCCTCTGTGCAGTGACGAGTGTGTCCTTGTCAGTCACTTGCATTACATCGCAAAATTAAACAGTCGCTATTTTCGCACTGGCGGCACTTGATCATCATATGACCTTGGCATTCTATATTTTATTAGGAAGCTCTCCAGGTCTGTTCTGAAAGTCTTAAAAGTAAAAGTAAAAGACCAAAAAACTATACTGAATCTGAATTCATGTGACAAACTTAGCGGTTTGCGTTTAACGTTAGCTTCCACTAATTTTTTCTGCCCTCTATGGTTTAGCATTAGTGGAGCTATTTTTTTAGTTAGCGGATTAGTAGTTAGTGAAGGTAACTTTTCGGTTAACTGTGCCCACCACTATTTATATGTTTTATGAGGTAATTATGTTTGTTTCACTCCCATCTCCCACAATGTGTTTTCTACTTTACTGATATAAAGTCATTCCTCTACTATTGTCCCATCCAGTGCAACAGTCCTGTTTATCAATACTTGCTCACTTTATCTTCCAATTTTGTCTCCAATCCATTTATCATGGAGGATGAATTAATTCTAATCATAACTCTTAGTCTCTTGTTAAATGAAATGGCTCATATTAATGGTAAAAGCAGCAGAGCTCATTTCATGTCTAATTGATATAATTTTTTATCTTGACAGGTGATATGTTTGAAATTGGTCATGAAAGTGGCAGATATTATTCTGTTAACGTGCCTCTGAAGAAGGTATTGATGATGCCAGCTATACACAGGTCTTCAAACCAGTCATTGAGGTAATATTAACAGTAATAATAATATTTACATCTCAGCAATATTAAATGCTTTTTTAAACTAATACTGTATAGTTGTCCCTCACTTTATGTGATAGAGACATTCTGGGCCCGTGGTGCATAGAGAAGCTATAGTAATTTAAACAGTGATCAACATACACTAGCACTTTCTTACATTATCTGAACTGCAATGATTGCACATGAGTGAATTTATGCCATGCAGGGAATTATATGTAAAGAGAGGTTCATCACATAAAAGGGGACCAACATGTAGTGAACCTGCATAAAGTGAGTGATTACTGTACTTGCACATTAAATATCACATAGCAATGATTCAGCAGAAACAAAATCCATACAGGGTTTCAGAAATAGCTATAATAACTCTGTCATATTAGTTAAAAGTTAAAGAGGCAGGACCAAGAGCTCAATTCAATCTCTGCAAACTCAAGTAGGTAATTGCAGTAGAATGTATGACAGATTTTGCTATAGTTAAGGAAACTTTCTCGATTAGAATATTTGTACTGTACAGTGAAAAACTGTATTGTCTTTTCTCACAGATTTTAACTTTTTTTTTTTTTGTAAAGCAGTATATGGTAATACCCTCTATGTCCATTATGTTTTCCCTAGGATGCTACCCATAACAGTGGAATAACACTTAGGTATGTACCTATTTACTGCTAGGAGAACATGGGCAGCAGGTGTAAGGTGACATGCTTCTCAGGTTAATTCTTAAATATAGTTGCCTATGTTCATTGAAAGACAAAGCTTATTTTGCAAAAGTATATTAGATAAGTGGAAGTTGGTGAAAAAATTAAATAGAAAAGTAGTAGTGTTTAAAAAGTCAATATTTCACTGTGTTTCAGACAGATCTAACGTTAATACAGTGGAACTCTGGATTTCGTATGCACTGAATATTGTATGTTTCGGATTTGGATACATACAATTTCCATCTGGAAATTGTATGTATCAGACGCGTCCCCCTGGGCTGCTCATACTTTCGTGACTCAAAATTATTTAAGAAACATGTTACATAGCATATAAACAATCAATGTTTATATGCTATCAAGGGATGGGTCAGTGGAGGGTAAACATTACGTTTTCTCCAGTCCAGCATAGAGAAAATTGTCTGCCCAAGTCACCGCCCTTAATACACTTTACATGATGCTTTTGTTTACAATTCTCGGCATGAATTATTCATTACTTCTCCCTTTGTTTATGATGGCATCTAAAGGTAGTTGTTAGAAATGATTAAACTCAGTGAACTGGTATGTTGATGGTAATAATATGGCTGTGGCCGCAGTGTATGTAGCCAGTAGGTATAGCCCAGGCGGATGTATTCTGCCTGGGATGTAGGCCGCCTGCGATGACAAATAAATACTACTCACCTCTCTCCCTACATTAAGACTACAAATATTTTAAGGGTAAGTAATGAATGTACTGTGTATGTATTTTACTTTTTATGTGTTTTTAATGCCTAGTTCTATTACTAACTTAATATAAGTTAGTGTAAACTTGACAACCCTATGCCTGTTGTGGAATCTATTGTGGCTTTGGGGGAAGTCCATGAGGGTGGATGTGAGTGGCCAGGATGTGGAAGAGTTGGTGGACAACCACAGGGAAGAGCTAACCACTGAAGAGCTGCAACACTCTAGTTATTCTCTATAAAATTTATTTTTTGTTAATATTTTTTGAGTGTCTGAAACAGATTAATTGGATTTACATTATTTCTTATGGAAATATTGCTTTGGTTTTCATCTGTTTCAGATTTAGACCAACCTTCTGGAACGGATTAAGTACGAAATCCGGGTTCCACCGTAACTTAAAATGTACCAGTACTTATGTGTTAGGAGTATAGAAGTTGTGAAATCTAGATACTGTAATTTGGTTTATTGGTGATAAAAGGGGAGGGGGTGCTCATATCAATCTGTATGTTTGTGTCTTTGATGGTGATTGCCTATTTGTGATTACTGTACTTCTCTTGTATGGTATTTAGTTTGTCATATAGCTTTTTGACATTGCCAGTGGTTTTATCATATACTTCTTCTTAGATCACCTTCCAAAAGTCTGCTACTCTTACATGTGAAAAACTACTTCATAACGTTCTTATATCTCTCTTATTGCAGCTTTTCTCCTGTAGTTACAAGTAGATATTCACAACACTTTACGTATAACATTAGTGTATCCAGTATTCAGTGGACAAACAGCAAAGCTGTTCTCTTATGCATTGCTTGTCATTAAGGTATGTCAGCCCCTTCTCAACCACGACCACAAAATAGGTCGCTTCTCACACTTAAGGATATCTGTCTAGGAAGTGATTAACACATTTTTCAAGGTTTCATGGAGTAAATTTTCCCGTGACTCATGGATGGTAGACCCCAGCCATGGGAGTTGGTTGACTGCCTTTCCCTAGTAGATTTCTATCACAGCCCATAGGTTCTCATTAGGGTTCAAGTCAGGAAATTTCCTGGTCAGTCATTGAAGAAGGGTGCTTCATAGTCAAAAGCCACTGAACAATAGATTTTGCGGTGTGGCAAGGAGCATTGTCTGGCATACAAATCTTTGCACAACACTGCAGGAAAAATTTGAGCAAATAATCACAGAGTAATTCTCAGAAACATTAGTGGGAATGTTTTTCTAGGCTTCCTTGAATATGCTTTTGGTGTAGGCTTGTCAGTAACACTGTCCTCAAGGGGACTGATTTAAACAAGTCTTTACTGAACATCACACATCAATGGCTTCTACCGTTTCCTTTGTTTGACGGTGTGCCTTATGTATCCAGTGATCTGTGCTATTGTCTTGAGTCATCAACTTACTCTTGCCCATAATAAATCGGCAGGGCACTTAAGATGCAGCCAGTAGCCCTAGGGAATCCTGAGATGCTACTCTGTGAGTTGCCAGGCCATCATAACTTTTTGTTTCACTGAAACACCTACCAGGGTTGATATTACTTTGGGCATTAAAGTATACTGGTTGCTTTTCATCTGGCATACTTTAATGACGAGCACTTTATATTCTTGATTGTGTGTATAATGATGGGCCCAAGGGAAAACAAATATGTTGCAATATTCATCAGGAGACAGGACAAGCATCTCCTGACACAGTCTTAATTAATAGATGACCCATTTTAGATTCATAAACATGTGTACGTTTAGATATTAAATATACATTTTCCTTTTTTTTTTTTCCTTAACAGGCTGTTATACAGTACTATTGCCCAACAGCAATTGTTCTTCAGTGTGGGTGCAGACTCACTATCAGGTGACCGCCTTGCTGCTTCTCCCTCTCCACCAAAGGTCATGGTAAGAAATATAAGTACAGCTCTCCTCACTTAATGATGGAGTTCCATTCCTAAAACCATGTTGTTAAATGAATTCGTTGCTAAGTGAGGACATACTATAATGGTAGTGGGTTTGTGTCAACTGTCTTTGATATTGTTTTAATGTCACCTTTGCATCATTTATAACATTTCTGGTATACTATTTTTAAATGTTTATACAGTAGTGTACTGTACAGTGGTATCTCGAGTTTCGAACAGCTCCCAACTCGATTAATTATGTAAGTGTATTTTTGTAAGTGCTTTTGTAAGTGTAATTTTTGGTGGTCTAAAATGGACTTATCTATTTACATTATTCCTTATGGGAAAAAATTCGTTTGGTATTGATACTCGAACAGCCTTCTGGAACGAATTAAGTTCGTAACTCGAGGAAACCACTTATATTGAAATAAACAGAATAGAGGAAATCAGCTCTAATACAGGTCCTCCATCACAAATTCGGCATCATTGGGACCTGAGTGTCCGGAACTGAGTTTGCCATTACAGAGTGGTAGGTTAGGAATACACTAAAAAAAAATTAAACCAACTTGACTTACCAAAAGTTCATTGAACATCGGCAAAAAACCGAAACATTTCCGCTACTTTGAGCTCAATTTCAAGGTACTTTTCATCATGCAAGCAATCAAAATCATGTCTATTTCTGTAATATATCTTCCATTCTATCAAATGAGTCCAAAAAAATGAGAATACAACCTAAAAACCATACGAAATATACTTCAAAGAGGCGGGTAATGGCTGAAAGTGAATTCCCTTTTTATCGTCCGTCTTTTTTATTTTTGTTTATACTTAAGAAGCATTTTTTCCATCCTACATTGCCCAAGTTTCAATGAGATAGCCCAACAAACAACCGAGAAAAAAAAAATTCACCAAAATCATATATGGCAAGCCCAAGCCAGGTACTGGAAATAAGTCACTTTTTTCTGACTTTTCTGGTTATCCTAGGTCCTCTATAAAATACACTGCTATGTATGATAATCTATGTAAGTGTTTTGTGTATACCTGAATAAAAATATTTACTTCTAGTCTGTCAACTGAGTACAAGAAACCGCCCATTCACTTATTTCAACTACCCAATAAAGTGTCAAAAATTGGCAGTTTGGCCGATTTTCAAAGCAAATTTCAACGGATGCCATTTCAAAATAGGATCCAAATAAACAATGCAGACATTCCTGGCATTAAATAACATTTTCTTTGTTCATTAGTCACGGCTACAAGCCCCTCTTATATTACTCTTTGCTTACCTTTTGGAATTTTTTTTCACACAAAAAAATAGAAGATTTACTGTTATGCAGACTACTGCATTATTGTAATAATTGTATAAATAATGTCAACCTAGACTACGAAATTGGAATTTAGACGGGCAGCCAGACAGGTATTGGATGGTGACGTCATTTTGTTTACTCTTGAGCTTCGCTAAAAAAAAACAGAACATTTCGCTACTGTGAGCGCAATTTCAAGGTACTTTTCGTCATGAACGCAGTCAAAATCATATCTATTTCTGTAATATATCTTTCATTCTATCAAATGAGACCAAAAAAAAGAGAATATAACCAAAAACAACCATAAAAAAATACATCGCTAAGCGGCCGCTAATGGCTGAAAGTGAACTCCTCTATTTATGGCCCTGATTTCTTTCATTTTTTTGGTGTACGTTAAGAAGTATCTTTGCATCACACCATTGCCCAAGTTTCAATAAGATAACCCAGCAAACAACTGAGAAAAAAATAATAATAATAATAATATCTTTATTTACTACACTTACATGTACAAGGTATACAGGCATCAGGACATACTACTGTATAGAAAGCCATTTTGTTATGCAGAGTATTCAAGAAAATTAGGCAGTGTCTCTGGATAACACCCACACTAGTCGTCTAAAAACCCGGGTACCCATTTACTGATGATAAACTAAAACAACAGGTGTAAAGAAACACACCTAATTTTTCTAACCCTGGCTCGGAATCGAATATTTCCCAAAAAAATCATATATGGCTAACCCAAGCCAGGTACTAAAAATAAGCCACGTTGACTTTTTTTTGGGTTATCCTAGGTTCTCTACACAAATGCTGCTATGTGTGATAATCTATATAGAGAAAATAACTTTTTTGTTTTCAGGTTTATGGTGCAATACGAGTGTGTATATCACAGTTAGCCCTGTGCTATACTCCGTTTTTCTCTAATATAACCCCCAAGACAGGATAGGAGAATTTGGGATTTGTATACCATATCCTCTTCATACCTTCATCGAAATGCTCAGTGTTATGCCAAATATTATTTATTCTGGAGTATTTAACATGTTTTATGTTATTTATATTGTTAATTATGTCATATTTGATTTAATGTGATAGGGAAATAAGCTGTAGTTTGATATTAGCGTAATAAATAAAGCATATTCTCCGCTTTATGAGACTGAGCTCATGACAACCGACAGTGGCTTCAAAGCCACCTTATCATTAATGGATAATGTACTGTGTAGGTGCTTTACATAAGAGAACAAATTTTTTTTATTCATTGGAACCATGGCTAGGGCTAAAAGTAAGCAGGGTTAAAACAAAAATGGAGAAAAAGAAATGAAATGACTTATGCGCAAGTAGCGCCACCAAACAGTACCAGCAGGGTTTGGGGGGCGACCCCTGGAAATTTGAAATTATGCTACCAAAATTGTGCCGAATAACTGAAGGGAAACCCAATAACGATTGCCGGATTTGTGATGGCGGGCCTGTATACATTATTTAGGTATAAATACTGGTCAGAGAGCCCGTTGTAAGTTGAGACGTCGGTAACCAGTACGACGCTAAGTGAGGAGCGGCTGTATATAATGGAGGCTTGGGATAAATACTGCAGTATTATTTTTAAGTGAAACAGTTAAATTGAGTGGGTCAACCAGTGAAAGAGCTGTGAAAGCTCTCTCCTCAGTACGTTAAAATCAAGAAAAAATACTTTTCTTCCTGGCTTTTTCCATCTGATTGACACTAGATAAAAGCACACAGCTGTTTTTTAACCCATGGCAAAAGTTTTTGGTAAATGGGAAAATTTGTTCGATTGATAATGTGTTTCTTTATCATGCAAACATTCGTTTCTTTCAAGTGTCTCTGCACACCAAGTATCATTTTTCATTTATTTTCTTACAGTTATAATTTTACATTTTCAGTTTTTTGTTTTTTCCTAATGTCCTTCACTTCCTACATTCCCCTTTTGGGAAAAAACGAACCCATTTTTTAGTAAGTGGACCCCCCCCCATAGGGCCCTTTAAAATCCGTGAAAGAGGGCTGGCTTTTAAAGCAAATGTTCGCTATGGGGAATAAATTTCCCCCCAAAAAGAAATAAAAAAATTCAAATTAATCCTTTGAAGACACCCAAAAATTTTGGAAAAAAAAAATTTTTAACCACATGAAATATACTTTTTCCTACACACAAAGGGGAAGGTTTACATGCACAATAGTAGAGTAGTACATCCCAACAAATATTTTTTGTTTGTACTACTCTACTAAATAAAGGGAAATAAATGAACTTCCCTTTTTTTTGAAGATGCAGCAATGCGGGATGAGACACTTTTGTCCGGGGAGTGCCTTTTCCCCCTGAGACTGTAGGGCCCTTTTTTGGTATTTTTTTCCAGAACAGGCCTTTACACGGGGTTTTTTCACTACGATTCTTAAATCTCTAAAACCCAAACCTTTTGGCTGGCCAAAACACCAATAGGCACTATTTCCAGGCTTTTTTCCCTGTTCACCGGGGTGTTAGTCGACTGGGGGGGTTTGGGGTTGCATCCTGGGAGAAAAGATTAAGGCCCCCAAATTTGGGAAAAAATTTAACAGTTTCCCGATGACACGACTTTTTTGGGCTATCCGGGGTGGCAAATCCCTGGGGTTTAAATTTGGGTTTTTTGGGTTTTCTAAATAAGCCCCACCAAAGGGTGCTACAGCACCAGCAGCGCAGCTGACGATGTTTACAGCAGCAGAGAGGGATGCTACAGAAAGCGAAAGCGCAGCAGCAGCGATGTACAGCAGAAAACCGACGAGGCTAAAACAGCAAGCAGACGATTTTACAGCAGGCAACTGACGATGTTACAGCAGCAGCGACGTTTCTACAGCAGCCCCCCAAAAAAAAGCAGACGATGCTAAGCAGCAGCAGCAGCTGACGGTGGTAAAAGCAGCAACAACGATGCTACAGCAGAAAACAACGATGCTACAGCACCCCAGCAGACGGGGCTACAGCAGCAGAGATGATGCTACAGCAGCAAAACGGTACTAAAGCAGCAGGAGCACCCGGGACGGTGGTAACAGGGGGGGGGGCAGCTGACATGCAGCGCGTGAGGGTGAAACAGCACAGCAGCACTGTACCACCAATAGAGCGATGGTTGATTGGGGTTTATTATAAAACCCTTTGGCCAGCCGGGGGGAAAAACGCCTCCCTTTCAAAACTTAAAATGTCTTTTTTTTTCATCTCCATGAAATTTCCCTCACCCTTTTGGCTGAAAGGGGTTTTGGCTCTAGAAGCTTATTTTGGGGGCCCATGGTCCCCTTATTTTCCAAAAAAAAAAATCCCCAAAAAACACGTAATAATAAAAAAATTTTCCCGATTGTATGTTTGGGGATTTACCGAGGGGGGGCCTGGCTGGTAAAAAATTGCCCCCGGGGGAAAACATGGGGAGCGTGGCCCCAGGCCCCAAAATTGGGGACGCGTCCGGACAAAAGGCCGCCGAGGGGGTTTTTTGGGCCTATGGGGGGAAAAATTTTTAAAGCGATCAAAGGGGTTCCGCTATGGGGATTGCCCGCTATGAAAGGGCGTCCGTTATGCGGGGGTTTCCACTGTATTTATGAATCTCTATTGAAACTAATTATCCAAGAACTTTTTTTTTACTAAATATATTTTGTTTTCCCTATTTTCTAAAAAATTTTATAATGGTAAATTATAATACGCTTTAATAAAAAGGGAAAAAATTTTATCCCGTGGACCCCCCCCAAAACGATGGCAAACGAAAAGCGATTTTTTTCCCCATAACGATTTCTTTTTTTCGCAAAATTTTTTTCCGCGCATACCGAATAAAAAACCCCCTACCCATTTTCGTCCGAGGGGCGCGTTTTTAAAGTCCCTCGGGCCGCCTCACATGTGGCCCCCCCTCCGTCCCTTGTTTACCAGCCAGCCTCCGCGGTAAATCCCCAAGCTACACCGGAATATTTCGTATTTTTCAGTATTTTTCGGTCTGTTTCGGGAAAATAAGTGCCCAGGGCCCCCTAAAAAGTTTCTAGGGGCCAACCCTACACCTCAAAGGGTAAAAATTTTACTAAGAGATAAAGAAAGAGATAATTGATAAGTAAAAAGTGGAGTGCGTATCCCCGACCTAGTCAAGCTGACAAAAACCCCCAAATAAACCCCATCGCTTACAAATTTTTGGGCACCAGAAAGACAATAAAGGGAAGCTGTTCTTCCCAAAAGGGGTTTAAAATGTGTTTTCGAAAAAAAAGATCGCAATTGAGGGAAGATGTTGAAGACTCTTTTTGGGGTGTGGATAAATGAAAAACAGATAGCAGGAAATAGCGTCTCTAAAGCGATCAAAATGGGAAAAGGCTGGGAATTTTGCATGGGGTTTTTAAAATTAAAAAAAATGCCTGAAAACTAGTGTAGGTGATGAAAAAAAAGGGCCCAAAGAAAAGGGTTTGGGTTTTTGAGAGTTTTAAAGAAGCGAATGGCATCCATAGTGTGAAAAGGGGAAAGGGGGAGGCTGCCATTTTCGGACCACAAAGCGGCTAAAAAAATTGTGCGGGAAATTTCCAAGGAGTACTTAGAAACTAAAGGACTAAAAACCTAAAACAAGTTTTTAAATTTGGTGATGAAACAGGCCTGCCCTGGAAAAAAATTTCCCAAAGCGGGGACCTACATTACTCGGGGAGGAAAAGGCAACCCCCCAGGACATAAGCCTTTTGAAAGACAGGCTTACTTTTTGTTGATGTGTGCCAAATGAAATGGTGATTGAAAGTGAAGCCTTTTTTTTAGTGTATCACTCTGAAACTCCCAGACGTTCGGCAAAAAATGTCCTAAAGGGATAATTTGTGTGTGCTTTTGGGGGCAAAACAGTAAGGCAGGGGTTCACTGGGGAAATTTTTTCTAAAAACGGTTTTACACCATGCATTTGCCCCCAATTTTAAAAAATTTAAACCTAACTGAAAAAAATTAAACTTAAGTGCCTCCTGGTGTTAGACAATGCCCCGGGCCCATCCTACAGCCTGGCCCAGGGGCGATTTTATGGGGACATGAGCTTCTTTAAAAGGTGAATTTTTTCCTCCAAATTTCCACCCCTTTTCCTGCACCCCAGGGGACCAGCAGGTTTTTTCCCAAACTTCAAGAAACTGAAACAAAAAAAAGCTTTTGTTTAAAAGGTGTTTGAAAATGCCCTTTTCAGAAACTCAACTGACTCAAAGAGAGTTTTGGGAGTTTCCTTTTAAATATCCCAATTGTGAAAAACCTTTATGGAAAGGCTTGGGAGGAAGTGACAAAGAGGACCTTAAAACCTGTTTGGAAGAAACTGGGGCCAGAATGTTTTTGACAAAAGGATTTTGAAGGGTTTGGGGCTAACCCGAGAATCCTGTGCCAGTTGGGGAAAACCATTTTTGCTTTGGGGGAAAGCCCTTTGGGGGTTGGTTTTTAGTGGGGGGGAATTTTGGAAGAGTTGGTGGGGGAGGACAATGAAGAACTAACCACGATGAGCTTTATAGATCAACTTCAAAAAGCAAGAGGCCAGACCTGAGGAAACGGTTTTTGAGGAGGGGGGGAAAGAAATTGAAGAAATTGCCTACTACAAAAAATAAAGGAAAACTGTGCTAAGGGTTGAAGTGCAAAAACCCTTTATGGATGAAAATCACCCTCCCCACCCCCTATTGCCCAAACCGTGCTTTGGGGATTATTTCACTGACAAAAGTTGTGAAACATTTAAAGGGAATCCAAAAGGAAAGAGAGGTACAGGCCATATGGACAAATATCTTTGCGAAAGAAGTCCAGTGACTTTTTGAAAACTGGCCCTAGTGGCATTAAAAGAAGGGGGGAAGTAACCCAGAAAAGGACTTACTACCCCAAGTCCCCAATGGGAAAGGGGGTTCCCCTTCTAAACACTAAAAACACTCTCTCCCCTCCTTTTCCCTCCCATCAAACATACCAGATCTTCAATAAAAAATAAATGTCATTTAATTGGGGCATGCCTTTTTTTAGTTTTGTGTGTATTAAAAATTTCCCTTTCATGGGTTTTTAAAAAAAAAAATTTTTAAAACTTTTTTGGGGGTCTTTCACGAAATTTAATTTTTTTTCCATTATTTTTTATGGGAAAAAAATTTTTTCGCAAAAACATTATTTCGCATAACGATTAGCCCTCTTGCCCGGAAATTAAAAAACGTTAACCCGGGGGGCCCACTGTATTTTTTTTGCCCTATATCCATTTAAAAATATTTTAACTAATATTTACATGTTTAATTATTAGGTTTATTAATATATTTCATTTAGTGTTATCTAAGTCATTAAACCCTTTTTAATAATTTCGAAATATTTTTGGGGTTTATTTTCACAAAAAAGGGCCCGGACATGAAAAAATTATGTTGTAGTAAAAATTCTGCTGATTAAAACTTTCAAATTTCTTAGAGATTTGTGGGCATTTTTCAGTGGGAGGCTAAAAGAACATTCAAAATTTTCAGTGAATTTCGTAACTTTTCAAAAAAAGTTTGGTTTTTCCCTTGTTATGGCTGGGTGGTGGTGGTTACACTCCAAAAAATGTGGTAGGTGTTGGGCTTATGAAACAGGGGCTATAAAAAAATACAGACATGGCCGACAAAAATTCCATATTAAAAACCCGGAAAAAAATTTCTTAAATTTTTTTAAGTTTCCCCAATTTTTGCTTTTAAAGCTCAATTTTTTTCCCAAATTTGGGGTGTGTAGGGGGGCCCTTTGTACAGCTTTTTGGTTTTTCGACCTTGTAGAGTAAGCAAGAATTGCCCCCAAGGGAAAAAAAAGGATTTTTTTATTACGGAAAGGCCCTCCTAAAAAGACTGATTTAAAGTGTTTACACCAACAAACTTAAGTGCTCAATTTCACTAGGGATAAAAAATAAATAAAAAATAAAAAAAAATACCCCAATACATGTTTTACTTAAAATATGGTGCTGCTCGCCCTTCCCCTTTCTCTACAAAAAGGGGCGAAAAAAAACGGTTTTAAAAACACAAAATAATGAACCCGTGGCTCAATGAAAGCCACGAAAACGTGGAACACTGGAAAGAGGGTTTCGCGTTGCAGGGCCAAATTCTGTACTGAGAAAAAAAACTTCAGAAATCCGTTTTAGCAAAATTTTATGTATAGTAAAATATATGCAAAGACAGTATTGGGGTTGAATTGGGGGAAAAGGTTGAATGATGGTAAATGGTTTTTTTTTTTTTGGCCCACCTTGCCACAGTGGAAGATGGGGCATTTGAAAAAAAAAAATTGCATTTCTTATAGACTTACTTCTTAGCTCTATTTTTTCGAAAAAACATTTTAATTCAATTTCAAATATTTCCGTATTTTGCTCCGATTTCTCCCTCACCCTGAATAAAACACGTCAAAAAAAATGGGAACAGTCGACAGTATCGGGGAACTATTGTTAAATGTTATGATAACCTCAGGATGGTTCGCATGCACCAAGGAAAGTAAAGAAATTAAATACTTTATGCCACATTTCAGTGTTTTTTAGTTGAGGGCCCTTCTTTCTAAATTTAACTTTAAATCCATAGAATTATGGTTAAAAAATTTCTGGTTTTATCACAGGGTTTGGGTCTTTAAACTAACATTAAATTGTTGAATGTCCTCTATTCCAAAATAAGTGGGCTTTTATCATGATATTTTTTTGATATAAATTTTTTCTTAGGTAAGGTTTTGGGAACAGCAACCGCCCAGGGGGGTCACCATCCTGCTAAATGAGTGGTAAAATGAAGCCTGTAAAAATTTTTTTACATGATGGGAGGATTGCGGTGTTCTTTTTCTTCTCATAAACATGCAAGATTTCAGGTAGTTTGCTACTTTTTCTTTCAATTTGTCACACTACACATACATGTACAAGTAATATATACCACACCCTCGGGTTTTCTTCTATTTTTTTTCTAGTTCTTTTACTGTTTAATTTCCCCCTTATCCCATGGGGAAAATGGAACAGAATTCTTTCCCCCTAAGCCTGCGGTTGTAGGGGCAACAAAATGCGGGAGCAAGGGGCTAGTAACCTCTTCTCCTGTATTATTACTAAAGTAAAAGGGAGAAACTTTCGTTTTTCCTTTTTGGGCCACCCTCCTCGGTGGGATACAGTCGGTGTGTTGAAAGAAAGAAGAAATTTATTCTTAGCACCACCTAGATTACTACTCTTAGCATTGTCCCTAATCTCCATAATATGCAGTACTGTTAATCTTTAAACCCCTGGAAATATCTTGCCTTTGAAGTAAGACTCCATGAGCATGTCTAACAATCACTTCAACCAATTTTCATCACAGATGTCTTGTTAGTAGACTTGCCTTGCTAATTTTTTCTTCACTTGGAAGCCTTATTATTTTTTTTATTTATTAACACATCAGCCATTTCCCACCAAGGCAGGGGGGCCCCAAAAAAAAGAAAACTTTCTCATCATTCACTCCATCATTGTCTTGCCAGGGGTGCACTTAAAATGCAGTTATAAAACTGCAACATTAACACCCCTTCTTCAGAGTGCAGGCACTGTACTTCCATCTCCAGGACTCAAATCCAGCCTCCCTTTTTCCCCTGAATCCCTTCATAAATGTTACCTTGCTTACACTCCAACAGCACATCAAGTCCTAAAAACCATTTGTCTCCATTCGCTCCTAACATGCTCACGCATGCTTGGGGAAGTCCAAGCCCCTCGCACAAAAAACCCTCATTTACCCCCTCCCTCCAACCTTTCCTAGGCTGACTCCTACCCTGCCTTCCCTCCACCACAGTTTTTATATACTCGAAGTCATTCTATTTTGTTCCATCCTCTCTACCTGTCTGACCACCTCAACAACCCTCCTCACCCCTGTGGATAATGTTTGGTAATCCCACACCTCCTCCTAATCTCCAAACTACAGATTCTCTGCATTATATTCACACCACACATTGCCCTCAGATGTAAACATCTCCACTGCCTCCGCCTTCTCCTTGTTGCACATTTCACCACCCATGTTTCACACCCATAGAAGAGCGTTGGTATAAACTATACTCTCATACATTCTCTTCTTTGCTTCCATGGACAAAGTTCTTTGTTTCCACAGACTCCTAAGTGCACCACTCACCGTTTTTCCCTCATCCAATTCTATGATTAACCTCATCCTTCTAAATCCATCCGCCGACACGTCAACTCCCCAAGTATCTGAAAACATTTTACTTCTTCCATTTCTCCTCCTCCCCAATTTGATATCCAATTTTTCTTTATCTAAATCATTTGATACCCTCATCACCTTACTCTTTTCTATGTTCACTTTCAACTTTCTACCTTTACACACATTCCCAAACTCATCACTAACCTTTGCAATTTTTCTTTAGGGAAACTCCCATAAGCACAGTATCATCAGCAAAAAATAACTGTGTTAATTCCCATTTTGAATTTGATTCCCCACAATTTAATCCCACCCCTCTCCCGAACACCTGCATTTACTTCTTTTACAACCCCATCTATAAATATATTAAAACAACCATGGTGACATTTCACATCCCTGTCTAAGACCTACTTTTACTGGGAAGTAGTCTCCCTCTCTTCTACACACCCTAACCTGGCCTCAACTATCCTCATAAAAACTCTTTACAGCATTTAGTAACTTACCACCTATTCCATATACAGTGGACCCCCGCATAACGATATTATTTCAAAACCAGAAGTCTGTTTGGGTGCCATTATAGACCGAATTTGTTCCCCTAAAAAATATTGTGAATTAGATAGTCTGTTTCAGACCCCAAAAAATACACCTACAACAGCACTTACAAAAATACACTTACATAATTGGTCGAGTGGGAGCTGATCGTCATGCGGGGGTCCACTGTACTTGCAACATCTGCCACATTGCTCCCCCATCCACTCTATCATATGCCTTTTCTAAATCCATAAATGCAATAAAAAACTTCCCCCACCTTTATCTAAATACTGTTCACATATATGCTTTAATGTAAACACATTACTACACATCCCCTACCCACTCTGAAACCTCCTTGCTCATTTTGCAATCCTACATTCTGTCTTACCTCTAATCTTTCAATTATAACCCTACCATACACTTTTCCTGGTACTCAATAAACTTATTCTCTATAATTTTTACAATCTCTTTTGTCCCCTTTCCCTTTATATAAAGGGACTATACATACTCTCTGCCAATCCCTAGGTACCTTCCCCTCTTTTTATACATTTATTAAACAAAAGTACCAACCACTCCAACACTATATCTCCCCCTGCTTTTAACATTTCTGTCATGATCCCATCGTTTCCAGCTGCTTTACCCCCTTTTCATTCTACGTAATGCCTCGCGTACCTCCCCCACACTTACATTCTGCTCTTCTCACTCCTAAAAGATGGTATACCTCCCTGACCAGTACATGAAATTACCGCCTCCCTTTCTTCCTCAGCATTTAAAAGTTCCTTAAAAAATATTCTCACCATCTACCTAATACCTCCCTCTCCCCATCTACTAACTCCCCACTCTGTTTTTAACTGACAAATCCATATTTTCCCCTAGGCTTTCTTAACTTGTTTAACTCACTCCAAAATTTTTTCTTATTTTCATTAAAATTTCTTGACAGTGCCTCTCCCACTCTTCATCTGCTCTCCTTTTGCACTCTCTCACCACTCTCTTCACCTTTCTTTTACTCTCCATAACTCTACTTTTCTTTTAACACTTCTGCTTTGTAAAAACCTCTCATAAGCTAACTTTTTTCTCTTTTATCACACCCTTTACTTCATCATTCCACCAATCACTCCTCTTTCCACCTGCCCCCCAACCCTCCTATAACCACAAACTTCTGGGCCCCCCTTTTAATACTGCATTTTAAAACTATTTCCAATCCTCTTCAACCCCCCTACTACTCATCTTTGCACTAGCCCACCTTTTTTGCCAACAGTCGCTTATAAAATCACAAAAACATGTTTCATCTTAACCCTTTCAGGGTCCAGAGGCCAAATTTCAAAGTGCGCACCAGGGTCCAAGAATTTTCAAAAAAAATTTTTTTATTTTTTCTTGTGAAATAGTAGAGAATCTTTTTCTGAAGGTAATAAAACAAAAAGTATGAAATTTGATCGAAAAAATTTATGAAATTATGCTCTCGCGAATTTGATGTGTCAGCGATATTTACGCATCAGCGATTTTGCCGACTTTGACTCCCCTTTTAGGCCAATTACATTATTCCAGCCGATCAAATTCTTAGATATTTCACTAGTATTACTTCTATTCTATCGAATGAGCACAAGAAATCGCCAACTCAGCTGTTTCAACTACAAAATAAAGCGATTGGAAATTGGTAATTTAGCCAGTTTAGTGCAAAGTTCAAAATATTCCAGTTTCAAAATAGGGTCCAGAATAAACAATGCAGGCATTCTTGGCACTAAACTAACATTTCCTCTGTTTATTAGTTACTTTTTCAGGCTTTAAAAATGAATTCCATTTTGATTTTTTAACAATAATGAATTTTTTTTTAAAACCCAAAAATAAAAGATTTACTTCATGCAACATTGAAAAAATTTGTATAAATAAATCAGCACTTTTGGAAGTATTTTTTTGCCCCCACCACTGGAGTTTTTAGACATTGAGGTCAGTTTTTTTTACGCTTGAACATGGGAAAAAAATTTTTAAATTTCCGCTACTTTGAGCTCAGTTTCAAGCCATTTTTTACAAAACCAGTCAAAATCATCTCTTTTTTCTGAAATATACCTTCCATTCTATCAAATGAACCAAAAAATTGCAAATACACTAAAAAAAAAACTATGAAAAAACACTGCAAATTTGTTTTAATCGAAAATTGTCTCATTTTTTTTTCTTTATGCACGTGTGCGGGGCGGGGGGATTTGTTTTATGTGGTGCACACATACCACATAGATGTTTTCTTCATATCTAGGCCCAAATTACCACTCACTTTATCAGAGTGAGGAGTCAGGGCGTAGACTTGGTTTGGACCCTCACATAAACCGTAGATATACGGCACGAACCTGAAAGGGGTTAATAGACAGTTTGACTAAATGAAAATTCCCAACCCTGCATTTTTTTCTTGGTGTATCAGTCACATTATTGAGGAAACAAAGTGTTTTGAATTTTTTTTCTTTCATTGTAATCAATTGCCATCGTATTAAATATTTGGATTTTTTCTGTTTTTTATATTTTTTTGTTTAAACGTGTTTTCTGGTAATATATATTTTCTGTATTCAGTGTCCCAGATGCGGGATGTCCCAATGAGGAAAAAATTTTAAGGAAGAAGAACAAGAATTTGATCCAAGTCGTTGCTTCATGAAAAAGATAAAAGGTAATTTATATAGTGTTTTAAAATTTATATTATTTGGCTTTTTGGAGGACATCAAAACTGTCGTTCTGGACCCGAAAAGAGGTATTATGTGTGAATGGTGGTGAAAGTGTTAAATGGTGAAAGTGTTTCTTTTTTTTTGGGGGCCCCCTCCCTTTGTGGGAAACACCCAACATGTTGAAAAAAATTATATCATTCAGTAAACCTTTCATAATACTTGTGTTACATTCCTGAAAAATTTGTTATGTGGGTGAAGAACATGGGGAAAAATTTGGTTTTTTTAAAAACCCCTAATTTAATTCCCCTCCCCCCAAAAATTACTCAGTATGCATTAACTAAATTTGGGTAGTTCTTTCTTATTGAAATGGAAAGTGTAGGGGGGGGTTGAGAAACCTAGGGGCTGAGGGGATGCTGTGGTTTTGTTTTTGATGTGATGCAGAGTTGTCTAGTAAGGGTTTGATTGGAGTGCCAGGTATTTTGTAATTTGTTTTGCTGTGTTTTACCCTGTAATATTTTGTAGAATGCCCAGAAAATTTGTTATAAAAATTAATCCCCTTTTTTAAAACCTTAAAAACTGTCCAACTAAATATACAGTGTTTTTGAAATTTCACCTTCTTTCTTAAAATCATTTTTTATAGATTAGGACATTAAAATAACTTTTCCATCTTACTGATACATGTAAAACCTCTTGGATTTTTTTAGAGCAGATAAAAAATCTAGAACAATGCAAAAGATCTTTTTTCCTCACTTTAAAGGAGAAAGGGTTTGGGGGTATTGCTGTTTGGAGTGGATCTAAATGTTGTATCTGATCACCCCTTGCAAAGACGTTTAAAGTTTAAAGATGGTGAAAAGGGTTTAAGTAGTGAAAGTTTTTTCTTTCTTTTTTTTTTTTTTTTTTTTTGGGGCAACCCCCCTCGGGGGGACATGGGTGACGTGTTAAAAAAAAAAAAAACACATTGTAATCACACTGAATCCTGTTATCTGTAGTCTATTCCCCGAAGTAAAACCCCCGTGGCCTGGTCCCATGCATTGATTTATTTTTCTTTTTTTGGGGTAGAAAACTACCCGTCAGCATGCCTAAAATTGTCAAAAGTGCTCCCATAATGTTTTTTTATGTAGCATTTTTTGCTTGATACAAAACAGCCTAAATAGAGAAATTCCCGTCACTTTATTTATGCTCTTTGTATGTAATTTGCCCCTGTAGACCCCCTTCCCTTTAATTGATTTCCTTTGATTTCAAAAATTAAAACTTTAAAGTCATTAAGGTTCACAAAAAAGTGCACAGGATCCCCGTTTAGGAATAGTGATGCCAGGCCCCGTGACTTGATGCTTTCCTCAGAGTATTCAAACTTGAGATTTTATCTTTAAAAACACAGCTAAATTCATCTTCCAGCTTGGCATACCGATCTCAGTCACAGCTGAATTTTTTCAGTATAAACGCGGTCTTTACCAGCTAGGGTAGGGGGGAGCAATGCCTTCACTTCATTTGAGATCCCAGGGCCCGTCATTGGTTGGCCACCGTTGTGCTTGTTTGGGCCCCAGCTTGGATCATGCTTGGGGGTTGTTTGCTGCTGCTGCACATTTTGATGCATGGTGTGCAGCAGTGTCAGAGTTGGTTTTACTTTCCAGCTGACACTTCTTGGTTTTGGCTGTGCTCAGGGGCCCTGTTCAGAGACTCCCCATATTGTCTGCCACATTTGTTAATGTCCAGCTGAATTGTCGAATTTTCCCTTTTTCGGCTAGACTATAATGTTTAGTTTAATGCCCTTCTATTGGCTAGGGGGTAGTTTGTCACCACCCCTTTTTCTATTTTGCCATTATTCAAAAGTTACCTCTCTGGGCTGGAGCTGATGGGATGTTTTTAAACCCTTTGAAAGCATGGTTTATTTTAAAAACAGATTTTTGAAAAGTGGGGGCCCCAGTTGGGCGTATTTTTCTGTCTCCTTCCCCCCTTTTGTGTTTTGGTTGCTGAATGAGTCTGAGCTTTGCAAGGTCCCGGGGTGCAATACAACAAGTACCGGACAAAGGGGAAGAATTTGAGGGTGAAATTTTGTGACATTCTAGGGAGACCCCCAGGGGGCCCCTGAACAGGCTGTTTTTTTAAATCAAAAGGTTTTATTTTTAGGGAAATTTTCCTGATGTTTTGTTCATTTCAAGCTTTAAACCCTATTTTATTGTGTATTAATTAAATTTTTTTGTTTTCTTTAGATTGAACCAGATAATGAAATTTTGATGGTGAAAAAGATAATGATAAAAACGAGGATCCTGAATTACACTCCCCTGCAACAAAAAACGAGTTAAAAGAGAGTGAGATGGCTCGACCACTTTATGAAAAAAAAATAAAGCAATCCGTTTTAAAAAAGAATTTGTGAAGAAGGAAAGATTTTTACCCGGCATGGTGATTTGCAAAAGATTAAGATTCATTATTACAAAATCATAACCAAAAGGAAAAAAATTTTAAACTTACCATTAGTTTTGTATAGGGTATTTTGTTGCTTTTGTGAATGCAAATTTTGATTATGTGTTTCTTTTGGGAGAGCATGGAATTTAAAATACTACATTCTTGCCATGTATTTAAAGCATTATTTATGTACCAATATTGGGGTAATAAATGTTTTTTGACAAATGTTTTTTAGAAAATTTTTTTTATGCCCCAAAGTTTTTTATAATTTTGTACATGATGCCAATATTTTTTTTATAATGT